AATCCTAGGGTTCAGAGTGTGGCTATGGCACCCCGCTAAAAAACCCTGTGTTGGAGTTGGTGGGGATAGGAGTTGGGGTACCCACTGTGTATGCTAAAGCAGGCCTTGCTGGCTGATGGGTGGCACCATGTACACAGAAACTACAGCTAGCCTTTCCATTCAGATGAAGGACTTAGTAGGGAAATGAGACTCTTATGTATTCATAGGACATCATGCCATATAGCCATATCAGCAACTCAGCCCTTTATCCATGAATGGGAATGGACAATCAACAGCCCTCCTTTTTCAAGAGCAAAAAAGGTACAAAAGAAAAAGATAACTGACCCTGGAGAAAACAGGGATAATTAAAGAAACACAAGGGAAATTTAAAAATCTATATTAGTAATATCTTCTGAGAGACTTGGGGAGATATTGATCCATAAAATAAGAATAGGTTGCTATTAAAAAGAATTTAAAAAATAATTTTTGAAATTTAAAAACACAGCAATCTGGAGATTAAGTGTGGCCACCTGATTTTGAATTTCCCCGAACCTTCCTCAGATGACATAAAATCAACAATGAAAGTAGATAAAACCACACAAGACTCATACTTTCAGCATTTCTAGGCCACAGAGAATATTATGGTTGTCAAATTATGAGTGTATAAACAAAACAAATTCTGGTAAATGTTGAGAATTCCTTGCATTCTAAATGTAGGAAATTGCTTGAACAAACACAATGGAGTACTATGCAGCTGTAACAAAGAACAGGATGCTTATGTGATGTTAAACTATCTCCCCACAGGTGGCTTATTAGTTGCCAGAGAGAAACAGTGATTATACAGTGAAGAATCCATGTTTCCACTTTTGATCACTTTGGGCAAATGAGCACTGAGTGGTTTATAAGTTTGCTGTGGCTTTTGTAACAAAGTAGCACAAACTGGGTGATGTAAACAACAGAAATGTACTGTCTCCTAGTTCTGAAGGCAGGAGTCCAAGATCAACGTGTGGGCAAGCTCCGTTCCTTTGAAGGGCTGTTGGGGAAGGATTTGTGTCCCAAGCCCTTCTCCTTGATTTATATATACACATATACATGCAAATGATAAAGCAAATGGAACAAAATGTTAACAATTGGTGAAGTTGGGTAAAGGACGTGCAGATTTTTTTATACTGTTCTTGCAAACTTTTCTGTTAAGTTTGAAATTATTTCTTAAAAGCAAGATAAGAAAGACACAAATTACCACAAAGAACCAACAGAAAACGTCTAGAAAATCTAATATTTTAGAGCAAAATCGCCAAGAGATAGAAAATGAGAAAGAAAAGATGAGAAAGAGGTTGAGTCTAAATAATCCATCTAATTAGTTCCAGAAAAAGAAGAGAATATTCAAAGAGATTATAGGAATATGCATTCCCAGAGATGAAGACCCATCTCTGGTCGGTGGAAAGGACCCACTGACCATCAGGAAGAATGAATAATAAAAATAGTTATTATTATTTTGAAAGAGCCACATTCAACTCCACCCCTGTGAAATTCCAGCTCATGAAAGGTAAAATGAACATATAAAAAGGTTTTGGAGCAAAAGACAGGTGATTTACAAAGGAACAAGAATCATATCAGCATTAAACTTGTCATCATCACCACTAGATTCTACAGAAAATGGAGTGATAGCTTCAAAGTGAGACCTGCTGGAAAGAAGCAGTGACATTGAAAACATGTAGTAATGCCATACAAGTGCCAAGGGAAAAGTATTTTAATACTATTTTCTGTTTCTAACCAAATCACCAATCCAAGGTGAGGGCAAAATGAAACAGTTTTGTATTTGTAATAATTCAGAATTTAGTATTGACACAGCTATTCTTAGAAAATTGCCAGTAGGGGGCCGGGCGCGGTGGCTCAAGCCTGTAATCCCAGCACTTTGGGAGGCCGAGGCGGGTGGATCACGAGGTAAGGGATGGAGACCATCCTGGTCAACATGGTGAAACCCCGTCTCTACTAAAAATACAAAAAATTAGCTGGGCATGGTGGCGCGTGCCTGTAATCCCAGCTACTCAGGAGGCTGAGGCAGGAGAATTGCCTGAACCCAGGAAGTGGAGGTTGCGGTGAGTCAAGATCGCGCAATTGCACTCCAGCCTGGGTAACAAGAGCGAAACTCCGTCTCAAAAAAAAAAAAAAAAAAAAAAAAAGAAGTGCCAGTAGATATTTATCAGAAAAATGAAAAATGTATACAAAAAAATAAAAAGGGATTCAAGTTACTGGGTGTAACCCAGAAGTACAACAAAAAGAAACCTAGGATAACAGCTGCTATGCAGCAAGCCTGGAAATCACTGGTCCAAATTAAAATGGAAAAGTTGAATGAATGTCTTCTGAAAGACAATTAATTATGCATGACAACAATTGTACAATTATTAAAAACCTGGGTAATCCTGGTGATAAAGAGAAATAATATACCAATGACACCATGTACTACTACCAATAATTGTAATAACTAATAATATCAAGGATGAAGTTCCTCAAGACTCTTACTTGTAGAATCCCGTTACTCCTTCCCCTCCCCTCCCTTTTTCTCTTTTCTCCTTTCTCCTCGCCCCTTCCTCTCCTCTCTTCTCTTCTTTTCCTTCCCTTCCTTCTTTCCTTCCTTTTTCCCTCACTATCTTCATTCCTTCCTCCCTCTCTTCCTTCTCTCCTCCCCTGCTCCCCTTTTGCCTTCCTCCCTCTCTCCCTCCCTTCCTTTCTTATTTTTGCTTGCTATGTTATAGACCAAGGGAAAAAGAGAAGTTTCCTTTGAGGTATCCATTGAGAAAATGATGTTTTCTTTACAAATTGCTCTCCAGACGGTTGTCACATCTGATTCTTTTAGTGTGCTTAAGAGCCCCAATCTGAACAAACTATCCTTTATCTTAACTACTCCTTCAAATACTTCAAAAAACACCCTACTATCTCTTTGGCTTTATATTACTTTATCTCTCCATGGAAGGGAACACCTCACCACTGGCTCTGGAAACTGTGGCCAATTTTATCTTTAGTCTTCAATATTCAAGTGCTTCTGTACTAAGTCAACCTTACTCTGATTTTGTGTTTTAATTTTCATAGTCAGGCATTAACACCCAGCTCTCTCTTTGTCCCCTCGTTCCAGCAGCCTCGGGACCCATTCCTCTTGCTGGAGCCCCTGTATCAAATACCTATCTAATGTGCTGGTCACCTGGAACAGGTCACGCCTCATCCTTGTCAATTCTCACTCCTTGGAAGGGGAAATGTTGGAAGTGCATAGTGCTCTCTGTTACCTGGATCTCTACAGATTGCTGGCTCACATTCACCTTTGGGTGGTTCAATTTTTATTAATATTCTTTTACTTCTTTAGGTCATCCTCATGTCAGCTCTTGGCCTAGCTTTCCATATGTTGATTGCTCTTGTCTGGAATCCATCTACCTAAATAAACTTATTACCATTTTGGAAAGTGGGTCTGGCCACTAAGTAGGTATTTCTAGCTCTGGAACTTGACTTTTCTATTCTGTCCAATCTATTGAAAGATGTTCTAACTCTCAACCTTGTTCCCCCTCCCAATACCTGAATCCTGGCTTCCCCATGGCGATGCCATTGCGTTGACCCACTCACTTGTGACTCTTGCCTTGACTCACTGGGCAGGAAGAAGAGGCTCAAACCTTTGTCTACATTGGTGCTTCCAGACCATGTGTCTCTTCACCGTCTTGCTTTACATCTACACTGCAAATAGTAAATCCTTAATCTGTTCCTCATCTCTCAAGCCTGACCTATTGTGGTTCATTCCAACTGTTTTGTCTGCCTTGTTTTTTCCACTGTCTTCGCACACCTATCCACCCTGATACTCTGTCAAAGTTATCTCTCTAAAAGAAAACAGAAATGAAAACGAAAACAAATTTTTTTTCTGCTAAGAACACCCTCTCCTGCTCAAAGTCCACAATGGTTTTCTATTTCTTATTTTTTAATTTTAATTTTATTTTTATTTTACTTTAGGTGTATACTATATCCAGCATTTCTCCCCATGTTATCCCTCCCACCCTCCCCACCTTGTCCTGAAGTCAAGGCTGCCTCTTGACTTTGATGCTGACTTAGGCCATCCTTTTGCAAAATGTACATAGGAATGTCATTCCATCAAGGCAAGTCTTTGAGAAGAAAATACATAGAAGTTGCTTGGAGACTTATGGGATCTCATTTGTCATGTAAATATTTAGTAATACCAACAATAAACATACCCTTGTTCCCAAGGAGAAACAGTTGAGAACTGACCTTTACTGCAGTATCTGGAGGATGACAGATCTTGTTATTCTTTGATCATAGAGCTTGTCATATGTATTTGTCTAGCACATATCACCATGGTATGCTGTGAGTGCTACATGTCATGGGTTATAAGATCACAAAATTCAATTAAAGGAAGGAACTGTAGGAAAAGTAATGAGATCCTCTAAGTAACAAATGCAATGTGACAGTTGTGGCATTGAAGATGAAATCAAATATGCATGGTTAATAGCATTGGTGGAAACTTCCTCTTAAGCTAGATGTTTTATTCTCAATAAATCTTAACCAGATGCCTGTATGTTTGCTATACTGCCATTTTAATGTGAAACTGCCTTTTCTAACCAACTGTCTTCCTCCAGTACTTAGTATCAGTTGCCACCATCCCTGACCTGTATATGGTATCTGTGGAAGTTGTTTTTGACTAAGGAAAATTTTCATGGATCAACCATGTAAAATGAATACAGATACTTCATTATGCTTGTCTGTTATTAGATTCTGGCCCTGTCTGCAACCCTGCTTTAGTATTCATTATACTTACTTCTTGAATGACTTAAGAAAAACTTGTTAAAATTACTCATGAACAATTTGCTCCGATGCTACACACAAATCATTTGATAGATTAGTAGCTCTGACTCTCAGATCCAAAATTCATGAACTTGAATTCTGTTTTTTTAAACTTTCTTTTCCTAAGTCTTTCATATATTCCTAACCTTGACTTTAAATTTTAACTAGGCTCTACTGAATCTATGGTATTTGGACTATGTACTAATTGCCAAATTAAAGGTACTTTCTCCTCACATGATGCCTGTTGCACATTCTAGAATAAAAAGAGAAGACTATACATCCATTTTTAAATGCTTCAATTTCTTCCTAATATTTTTAAATGGATATACCATAGTTGTACATTTTTTGGGGCACATGAATGCTCTAATTTCTTATACACATACATACAACGGCATGTCAATGGTTGTTATCCTTCAATGATGGTGGTATAGTAGCAGACATTTGTGGTTTGGCTCCCATCCCCTGTAATTTTCCTTCAAGCTTTAACTCCCAGTCTCATCAGTCGTATCAAGGTCTCTACTACCTGTAGTCCTTGTGGCCTGGGAGGTGGGTTTCACCCTTGTTCCCCTAGTCTATTGGCACACTGAGCCAGGGGAGGATTTAGGGCCAGGCCCTGAACCAACGTATCTCACTACTGAAGCTTTGGTTTCGGCCATCAATGATGCAGAGCCTTTCCCATGGATGTGGAGCTGGAGGTAGGCAGTACTGGCTTTGTCACAGTACAGTCACACTGCAGTCTCTGTCGGGGAGAAAAGATTTCTTTCTTCACCCATTACTAGGTTCATGGATGAGGCACCTATAAGAAAAGATTAACAAGAAAAAAGCATACAAATTTATTTAATATAAGCTTTATGAGAGGCTTTAGAAACTAAGACTCAAAGAGTTAGGAAAATCTGTATATTTTTATGCTTAGTTTGAATGAAGAGGTCCACAGTGGTGGAGAAGTACGAGTGGACCAAAGAAATGTGATCTAATGGTAATAAACTTGGGGGAACTTACAAGGCCTGCTTACTCAGATTCTTCTCCGTGTTCTTCTGTCTTCAGAGATGAGGATGTGTCTTTCCTCCAGGTATAGGGAGGGCACCCCTAGAATAGGGGTCTTATGACCTGCTTCAGAGAACAAGGGGAAGATGAGAGAAACCTTTCTGCTTCTGCTGTTTGCTCAAATGCCAATGTGCCCTATTTGAGGTTAATGTGTCTTGAGCTCAGCCACTCTGAAGAGGCAGTCTGACTGGGAATGGAACCAGCCTCATGGACAGTAAAGTCGAAGGAGGCAAGATAAAAATCTGGAGCTGGTGACACTATTTGATCTCAGATCAAGAGGCACCCAAAGTTAGTTCAAACCCTGCTCTTTTCAGTTCTAGGAGCCAAGAGATTCCCTTTATGCTAAAGGAATTTGAATTGGGTTTTACTGTTGCCTGCAGTAGAAAGAGAGTCTTCCATTTACAAATCATGGATGATAACTTCCTTAGTATTTTACCATATTTTTCATATTTCTCTATGATGAATATAATAGTCACAAACAAAATCCCACCTATACCCTCCAGTAAATGTTGTAAAATTGTTTTCAGTTCTCCAAGATGGGACTTATTTGGGGTGTTGAGAAGTTTAGTTTTTTCTTTATGTTGAATGTGAATATTTACTTTTACTTTGCAGATAAATAATATATTCTCTTAAAGAAAGAATTTATTCCTAAATCTTGTTCAAGCTGTTGTGGTAGCTGACAATACCCAGGATGATTTTAGAATAATCCTCTTACTTTTTTTTAAGCTAACTTAGATTTAAGCAAGACTCAATTTTCTTTGTCTAGGTCAATATTTATTATTCTATACAGATTTCCATCCTAGGTGAAGAGAACTTTGACACGTTTTTCTTCTGAGACAGCTGCTTTCTTTCAATTCATTGGTATGCATTTTATTAAAACAAGGCCATAAGTTTAATGTGGCCCCCATAGAATATTTTCGATTAACAAATATTTGCTGAGAAACAGTCTGGGTTCTTAAACTTCTCAGGTTAAAAATTGCTGAATTCAGGGAAGTTGAAGCATAAAGCTAGGTCGAGGTGGGAGATAGCTATCACCTTTCATTGAGAGAAGCCAGAAGGTTGGCATGGAAACCTGGGAAAAATAAATTATAGATGTTCCAGGAGTTTGTTGTGGGGACTAAGTATGTATAGATGAGAAACAATCATCCCCATACTCAAAGACCACTGTGGTTATTTATGGAGTGGTGACATTTTATGTAACCCTAGATAGCTTACTTATGTTGAAACCTATGTGCCAGTTAGGGATCTTGGTGGAAAGCAGGAAAAACTGACTTTGAAAAAGAAAAGTTAACCTTTAGAAGGATCTGGCATGACTTACCGGCTGAAGAGCCAGGCTGGAAAGGGCAGGAAGCAGGAGTGCTCTGGGCATCTGGTAGTGGGGACTCGGCTATTATTTTAATAAGATAGCTCCAGTTTTTCAAATCCTTTTGTCTCTCTACTAAAAATGTGAAGTCCTAGGAAATGGAAAGCCTTGGGCAGTATCTTAGTCTGTTTTTGCAGCTATAACAAAACACCTTAGACTGAGTAGTTCGTAAATAATAGAAACGTCTTGCTCACAGTTCTAGGGGCTGGGAAGTCCAAGATCAAGGCACCAGCATATTTGGTGTCTGGTGAGGGGTACTCTCTGCTTCATAGATGGTGCCCCTTGCTGCACTCTTGCATGGCAGAAATGGCACAGCTCTTTTGTGAAGTCACCAATTCTACATATGAGACCTCTACCCTCATGACTTGATCACCTTCTAAAGGCCCCACCTCTTAATACTATCACATTGGTGATTAAGTTTCAACATATAAATGTGGAAGCAGAGACACAAATATTCAGAATATAACAGGCTGAGAAGGGTGAAACATCTTGTCTTGATAGATTCATCAATTCTGCTTCACTAGAAGAATAGAAGAATTGATGTTAGGCAACTCAACATGATAATATGTTCTGTATTCAGTTAGGATTTAGTAGTGGGCATAAAACTTGGCCATTAAAACATTCCACCCACAGACAATTCATTTATGTATTTTCAAATATGACTGTTACAAAACTTCTGAACTTCACAAAAATAATTTTCCATTATTATAAAAAAGTAAAATTCACAAAAATATTTTTGGTGTAATATATTAAAGAAATTATCTCTTCATGTCTGTCAGTTACTTGGTCAAATATAAATTGTATACCTCAATTAATGAATGAAACAAATAAAAAGATTATAAGTATGACTTAATTAGCTTTTTGTGAAGTCCCTATAAAAATTAGACTAGGAAAATGATAGTGGTATTTGGAAGCCATTTTCAATTTCAAGAAATCGATTGAATCGTATTTGAATGGAGGATGTGAAAAAGTGGCTCTAAAAGATCTGCTCAGCAGAGACTGTAGAAGGTAAATTTTATTTCTAATGGTATTCAAACAGAGAAGAAACAGAGTAACATTTAAATGAATAAAATTAAACAATAGAAGATAATATTTTATACTCAAAATTTTTATATTGTTGTAATATACCTTAATATTATCCTAGTGGCATATTTATTCTTTTGAACTGATATCGTGCAGAACTTTGTGAATAAAATGTTATTTCAGGGAGTTTTTGTTGTTGTTGTTGTTCTTGTTTTGAGAGAGGATTGCTGTCACCCAGGCTGGAATGTAATGGTGCAATCACTGCAGTCTCGACCTCCTGGGCTCAAGTGATCCTCTTGCCTCAGCCTCCCAAATACCTGGGAATACAGGCACACACCACATCTGACTTTTCTTTTCATAGAGACTGGGTTTTGCCATGTTGCCTAGGTTGATCTTGAACTTCTGAGCTCAAGTACTCCACCTCCCTCAGTCTCCCACCACAACACTTCATACAAATAATCTGGTCAAGTATGATAAAGCAAATTGATCCATTATGACATGTCTTTAGTAAAAATGGGAAACTGGAGAGTAAAAAATTATGTTTCAAAAACTAGGGTACATCTATTGTTAGATTCTAGTCTTATCTAATGTTTTTCAATTTTTATTTTTATTTTTTGGTTTGGATTGAATTCTAATTTTTCCTGGCTACAAGGCTTCAAAGTAATGTTTTCACTTTTTTTATTCTTTCTTTTTATTCCTGCCCTCCCCATTTTCCCTAATTTGCAATAACTGAAAATTAAGCCATGCTATCTTAAAGCCCTGCTAACTGAATCTAGACAACTAAACTTCAGAAGAAAATGACAGCAACATAGGTGAGCCACTTTCATAGCTGCCTACTGATGTATGGACTTCAGAGGAATGTGGCCTATATTGACTGTCCAGGATTATTCTTCTGTTTGTTGGTTTTTTTTCCCTTTCTCCCCCTATTTTCTCTTCATTGGACATGAGACTTCTCAACTGGCTAAAAATGAGCTTTCCTAATAACTTGGGACCTCCCCACCTAGGAATAAATCATCCTAGTCATAATGGATCAGATGAAACCTGAGACCAGAGACTCATTTTCTTCTAAAATACTTTCTCCAAAAGAATTTTAAAAAGAAAATTGGGAAAATGTGAAAGGAAAATAAATCTAGGGGTCCCAAAATCATTAAGCTAAAGGGAAAGGTCAAGCTGGGAACTGCTTAGGGCAAATCTGCCTCCCATTTTACTCAAAGTCATCCCTTTGCTCACTGAGATAAATGAGTATCAGATTGCTGCTTTTGGAAATTCTAATCAAAAACTCAAAAGAATGCAACTGTTTGTCTCTCACCTACCTGTTACCTGGAAGGTGCTTGAGTGGTCCTGACTTACCAGGAACCAATGTACATATTACATACATTGATTGGTGTCTTATTTCTCCCTAAAATGGCAGAATAAACTTTCTAAATTAACTGAGACCTGTCTCAGATATTCAGGTCTCATAAAATGTTTTAAAATTTAATGCAGTTAACTTTTTTGTGTGGTTTAAAATTTTTATTACTTGTTTAAAACATCTTTTCCAATTTCAAGGCCATGCAGACATTCTTTGACATTTTTTCCCCATAGCTTTAAATTTTTAGTTTTTTGAATGGTAGCGTCTTTGTCCTTACAACTTCCTCTAACATTTGCTGCTGTATCTCTTCCAGGCTGACTCTTTCTTTCCCATCAGCTTTCCATTCAAATGTTGCCTCATCTGGCCTCTCAATTAAAAAATATCCCCCACACAACCCCAGTTACTCTCCCAAATTATGCTATTTTATTTTCTTCACTACACAATTACTCTCTGCAATTATTCTGTTCATTTTTCTTGTTCATTTGTTTAATTTTTATTTTATGTTTCCCCAATACCGGGTGTAAGTGCTTAAGAAGAGAGGTCTTTATCTTGTTCACCATAGCATCCCCAACATGTAGAATGGAACTGTCACTGGCAGGGTTATCAGGGAGCAGATGCTGAAGAGAGTTTTTGTGCCAGTTGCTCGGTAGATCATGTCCTTTGGATCAACACCTGTGGAAGGGAAGAGGCAGAAGACACATCAAGCTGGGTCAGGAGTGGAGCTGCAGTGCTGGCCCCAGTGCCTTAGCTCTTGACATAAAATAACGCACTGCATCATCCCGAGTGATCAGACCTTTCCCACCCACCTGCATCAGCCATTGAGGAAGCCTGACCTGGGCAGGGTGGCTCTACAACGGAAATCACTCCTGTAGGGGCTGACAGCTGGAGGCAACAAGTTCTCTCTGGCAGGGGCATCTTGGTGACTCAGCTCTGTGTCTATCACAGGTGTCTAGCATGTAATTTGCATGTTAAATTTTTCTTAAATGAATGTTTTCTGAGCATAAGGTAAAATTTCTGAGCAGGAGCATTTAAAACATTCTAATGTGACTACTGCAGAAATGTACCCTAGAAATTTTGGTTACAAGACACATTCTCAGCATCCTTTTCCTTTACTGGACTTAGCCCACCAAGGATACTGTTTATATTTTTGTTTTTATTTATTTATTTTCAACTTTAGTGCTTACTAGTACAAATCTATGATTTTGTTGTTGTTGCAGTTTTTAATTTCTGCTTTCAATACTCAGGCATTTTTCAATGTATAAGTATTTGTTGTCTTATAGTGCCCTTATAATTTTATTTTGACTTTAAATATTTAGCTTATGATCAATTACTCTTGTACAGTATAAAGAAGAACCTGTATGTTTTCCCTAAATTGTCTTAAATGAGTAATCATTTCTGATGCCTGGTCTTTGTTTTAGACAAAGTCTCACTCTGTCACCCAGACTGGGTGCAGTGGCATGATCTTGGCTCATTGCAAACTCAGCCTCCTGGTTCAAATAGTTCTTGTGCCTCAACCTACTGAGCAGCTGAGATTATAGGTACACACCAGCACACCTGGATAATTTTTGTATTTTTAGTAGAGATGGATTTTGCCATGTTGGCCAGGCTGGCCTCAAACTCCTGGCCTCAAGCAATCCACCCACCTTGGCCTCCCAAAGTGGTGGGATTACAGATATGTCACTGCACTCAGCCTATGATGCACACTCTTAATATTTTTTGCACATTTGATGAGCTCCAGAAAGAACTGAAGGAAAAAGTGTCTGGGAAATCACTTATTTGGGTTACCTCAGGATAACATTTTACAGAGATGATTGCATCTATTATTATGCTGTTAAGATATTAAGAAATGTGTGTGGCAGCTCCTCTGACTTGTTTTTTTTATATAAAATAGAAATTATTAACTCTGTATTGCTGCCCTTTTCTATTAATTATTTCAGCATCTAACTCATGCTCAGTGAAAATATTCAAGGACATCCAAGTGTTTTAAAGCCCAGTTGGATTGCATTAGTTAGAACTAACTTTCTGTTATTTCTTTAGTTCTCCATTTTAGTTTGTAGTGTGAGGTCCCTAGAATGAACACCTTAATATAAGCTTTCGTGTATTGAACTTGGTTTGATTAGAAATGTCACTGAAAATTGAACTGTGTGGGAGTACAGAAAAATATCTCTCACAGGGTAAAAATAGCAAGAACCAAGGAACATAAAAATAAGACCATAGAACATCATCTAAGCTTTTGAACATCCCTTTAGGTATAGTTTGGGTTTGGAATGAGATTTTGGCACAACAGGTTATTCTGATTTTGAGTTGAATTTTGAGTTGGTTTCTTATTCTGATGTCGTAAGAGTGGATTATCTTTTCAATGAGCTTCCATTGTAGTTTGTGTCCTAGTGAGAGTTTTCTATCATATTGCAGAAGAAAAGAAAATGAATTTTAATTCTGGATCCAGCAGGAGGAGAAAAATTGATACTGATTTTTACTTTTCCAATGATGTGAGGACTGTTTAGACATCTGCAAATAGGGTAGATAAAGACTTCAATGATGAGAAGAGAGAAAAATATTTACCTTCTAAATATTTGAAGATAAGAGAGATATTTACCTTCTAAATGCACATATTAACATGTATATACGTGTGTGTGTGTGTGTGTGTGTGTGTGTGTGTGTGTGTGTGTGTGGAGAGAGAGAGAGAGAGATGGAGCTTTGTTCTGTCACCAGGCTGAAGTGCAGTGGCGCAATCTCAGCTCACTGCAAACTCCGCCTCCCGAATTCAAGGGATCCTCTTGCCTCAGCCTCCCAAGTAGCAGCAACCAGAGAAGAATTAAGCACATTATGGTGAAACACCTGCCTTTCTTTGGCATGCAAAAAGGGCTGGCCCTTAACATAGATTGATGGGTGAAAATCCAAAGTGCTGAACAGCCGTGAAAGATTCCTGCTCAG